GTGCTACTGAATAGGCTGGAGTGTAGTGCTGCACGCCTCGATATGTTTTGTGCCTACAAAGTGCAATATTACAAAAGTGAGACGACTCATGACTACTCACTGTCAACCGCCCGATGCTGTCGATCGGTTTATTTAACTGGCGGTTATGTCACCGGAAAGTTACTGCATGCAAGGACTTTCACAACCGTGGTCACTTATGGAGAAAACGGTACGCAGGTTTAGGGATTGAGAGGAGAAAAGGCTTACAAACCGCGGTTCGTAGACCGCTGAGAACTGAGAACTGAGAACTGGTGGGAAGCAGCGAGTAGAGGTTGCTCTGTGTAGCTGCATCGTTCGTCGTTTTCGGACATGAACTTTTTATTTATCGTTTCGCTCTTTGTACTTTGCCTCTGCAAATTGTTTGTCTAGTAGCATCTTGAATTTAGCCACTGTGTTCGCTTCTACTATATGCTGAGGCAGGTCGTTCCAGACATTCACCACTCTTCGTTCGAAACAGAGTTGATGGGCGACCCGCTTCAAATCCGGGACGATAAGTTTATACCGGTGTCCTCGCGTGCAGCTTTGTGTGCGCAGATGAAGTAGTTGTCTCAACATGGGGTAATCACCCAGATGTAATATTCGGTGCGTCATGATGAGGTCAACCCTCAGCCGACGATAAGATAGGGTGTATAACCCTAGTTTCTTACATCGGTCTTCGTATGGCATACCTCGTAAGTTGGGAATCAGCCTAGTGGCTACATGCTGCACCCGCTCAAGCTTTTCTACTTCGCCCCGGGTGATGGGACAGTATGCGGGAGTGCCGTACTCTAGCATTGGTCGTATTATCGAGACGAAGAGGCGAGTGGCAATCTCTTCGGACCAAGTGCTAAAGCTGCGCCTGAGAGCCCAAAGCATACGAAGGCTGTTTTGGTACAGCCTATTCGTGTTGTCAATGGACTTTAGGTCGCAGCGTGAGAGTACACCGAGGTCGCGCACGAAAGGAGCGGGATGCAACGGTTGTCCAGCCACTGTGTACGTTCGGCCGTGATCACACTTACCCAACCTCATGAATTGCGACTTGGCAGGGTTGATCGGAAGGTTAACCTCTGCAGACCATGTTGCGAGGCGGTCGAGATCCTGCTGAAGTAAATCGCAATCATTGAGTGTGCGGATTACTCTCCACACTTTCAAGTCATCTGCGAACAAAGCACAATGTGATTGTAGTAGCTGAGGCACATCGTTTATATGGATTAGAAACAATATCGGGCCCAGTACAGTGCCTTGGGGCACGCCGCTGCTCGATGGATACCAGTCTGTTAGATGGTTGTCCACCTGGACTCTCCACTTCCGATCAATAAGGAAATTGCTGATCCATTTGTGCAGCGAACCACCAACACCGCACATCCTCAGTCTGTCAAGGAGCACTGCATGGTTAACCTTGTCAAAAGCCTTACTGAAGTCAATGTAAATGACGTCAACCGATTGGCCTTTGTTCAGCGCTTGTAACCATTCGTGCCTCGTCAACAGTAGGTTGGTGATGCACGAACGACCTTTCAGGAAACCATGCTGTGCGGAGGTTAACAGGTTTTTCGACTCGAGAAGTTGCAGAAGGCTCTTCTTCACGATCTTCTCGAGCGTCTTTGCCAAAACTGCCGTCAGGCAGATAGGCCGGTAGTTATCCACTTTGCTTGGGTTACCACCTTTCGGGATAGGCTTTACGACTGAGCATTTCCAGTCGTCCGGTAGTAGACCAGTGGATAGTGACCTGTTAAACAGTTCAGTTACAGAAGGTGCAATTATGGTCGATAATGACTTGAGGATTAGAGGGTGTATACCATCTGGCCCAGCAGGTTTCGTCCCGTCAAGATTTGCTAGAATCTTGCGTACATCCTCAATATTGCAGTCCAGGCTGTTAAGTTCGGCTGGAGCGGTGCTCGTCGAACTCATTACAGACACCTGGTCACTTGCGAATACGGAGGCGAAGTGCGTTGCCAATGCTGACGCACGATCAGTACTTGAGGTTAGAGGCTGTCCTTCTGAGCCTTCTAACACTGGGATACTAGCTATAGGTCTTAGGCGCCGCTTCACATATGCGAAGATCCTCTTGGGGGCAGTTTTTGCGGCAGTTGCAAGCTCCTCTTCGAAGCTTCTGCGTTTGCTTGTTTTCGCCTTGTTGCAGCGATTTCGTTGTACCTTGTAGGCACTGTAGTCCTCATCAGAGCCAGATAACACGAATTTGTTCCATAGTCTACGTCGCCGTCGGGCCATTTTGTTGTACTCTTTGTCAAACCAATGTGGTTTGACTGGCCCAACTTTCCGAAATTTGAGGGGCACAAATCGGGCGCACAACGATTTCACTCCCTCTTTAATGATAGCCCAACAGGTTTCAATAGATGAATCCTGTGGTAAAGACCAGTCTATCTGGCTCGCTGCTCGAATGAGGCCATTAAAGTCCGCCTTCCAATAGTTGAAGGCTGACTCTGGTGGGAGAGGATACGGTAGCGGTAGTTCTAAACTGCCTATGACCACTGAGTGGTCACTCGCTCCCAGAGGCTCTAAGACTTGTATGTTGTGTACACGCTGCTCACAGCTAGTCAACAGCAGGTCTAAGCATGATGGAGTTGCGCGCGCAGTAATGCGTGTCGGTTGGTTGATGTGCTGTGTGGCCCCAGTTTCAAATAGCAACTCCGTAAACTTCCTCTCGACTTCACAATGGCCGGGGAGAAGTTCAGCTTCAGGCCACTGTATTCGGGGCAAGTTGAAATCGCCCATGAGTAGGAACATCGGACGACTCATGTGGTTGCGGACATGCGGCAACCAGTCCAAACTGCGGCTCAGTGGGCTGCGATATACCACGCCCACGTGCAACTCGCAGCGTCTGAGGTGTATCGAACACCATAACTGCTCACATAGACCATCAGCGCTTTGATAGGCGCTCACTAGTCTCCCACACAAGGAAGACTTTATGTAAAGTAGAACGCCACCGCGATCATTTGATGGTCTATCACAGCGGAAGCATGAGTAGCCGGGGATTTCCAGTTCTTGGGCGTTTACGTCGGAGTTTAACCATGTCTCAGCAAGGCCTAAAACGTCCGGTCGCTGAGAGCTTACGAAGTCGTACAGCACATCGCGTTTGTTCATCAAACTGCATACGTTAGTAAAGGCTACGCGCAGACCGCGGTAGGACCCGCTGGGCGCGCCTGAAGTATTAGCAACCTGTTGATCCGGATTCGTGGAGGAACCCGGGCAACTACTCGAAAATTTACGATACGGAGGTTTGTTTCTCCATCCTCCGTGCGCCGCTTTAGTTTGAGCGCATTTGGCGACCACTGGTTGAGAGATGTCGTTCATGTCTGATGGGAGAACCGAGTGGGTCATAGGGAAGTTTGGCATTTGGTGACAGGCCTTGTGGTGAAAGTCTCTTTGTTTGCTCTGACACTGAAAGTCTCCCCTTTGAACTACTTTTATTTCCCATCTGGTGGAAAATCAAAACATCTTACTGAGTGCCACATAACAAAATCAAAAGGACACATCACTAAGCTTCACTCTACATCTGAGTAAAACGATGTACACACCACAGATGAAGAGTGCTATCTGGGTACGTTACCAATGTGGACCCCCTCGTCTATTTGTAATTTGCATTACTGTTTAATACATGTACCTTAAAGTCACAGCATCTTGAAAAATGCTTTGTCAGGCCGAGTGAATCAGTTGAGGATGGTTATAGCAGTTATAACGAACTTGGAAGATAATTGCGACGAATGAAATGTAGGTAGGTCAATCGCGTCACAAGTCAGTTTCACTTCAAGTAGTGCGTGGAACGGCCATAAGTGGTCCGCGTTACAAGGCCCTGTTAGTGATGAGTGTGGGGATGATGTGATGTTTATTCTCTGCCCCGGATCCGTCCGCCGACTCTCTCCAGGCTAGTCGGATTAAGACAGCCCGCCACATGCTCGAAAGCTCTGCCCCGTCCATTCTGTTCACCTTGCTAATCTTAATCGCCTCAGCATTTGGGGCGTTGATCGTATAACCTCCTCCTAACGACTTCAACGTTATCCAAATTGATCTCATGATCTGGATCTATCCCGTGCATCTATACTGCCGATCCACTTGGTAGAATTTTGTGTTCAAGCTCGCTTCTCGGTGGCCGTGTTATGCGCATCTTGTGTTCTGCTATCCTTGTGCGTAGCTCTCTCGCGGTTTCGCCGATGTACACGTGTGCGCAATATGTAGCTAATTTTATTGACGCAATTAGTTGTCCTATCTGAGGAAAGTGGGTCCTTCAAGTGCACCAGTACCGAGCGGAGCGTTTGATCTTTCTGGAGAATTACCCACTCAACTACTCACTGATGATGTCACCTCGATTGGTGACGAAACGTTTGCAACAAAATTGTCAAGCTCAGCGAACAGTTCAACTGCCATCATTTTTTCATTGTTTAGGACCCTCCGAAGTGTCCTCTTTATAAGGAATTCCTACCATCCCAACCCATTTCGTAGTACGCCGTGGGTGCGGGGCAGAGGATGAACAGGACATCATCCCCCAGGGCCATCACTAACAAGACTTACGCGTGTGATCTGCAGCGCGGACCACTTGTGACCGTTCTATCCACTAGTTGGAGTGGAACTTTGGTTTATAACGCGAGTAACCTTCTGCCTACATCCCATTCATCGCGATTATCTCCCCGCTTCGCTATAAGTTCTATACTAATCATTAACTGGTTCCCTCGGTCTGACGACGTTTTTGTGTTAAAAGCGAAAGGATATCTGCAAACTTGTTTGCAGAAAATATGAATCTAAATGGTTTTTGGTGACAGACATATCCTCCAGTGTCTTAACGAAGTACCTGCGGAATTTGAGCCTCTTTCGTTGGTTCACCCGGCTGCCTTAGTGTGTGCTGTTTGCCAATACTGGTACTCGCTGTTTGGGCAAAGTGAACGGAACCAAACCGACAAATCTACACATTCGATTGCGAAGTGTCGATTATAAAGACATATGAAGTGGAGTAGAATAGAAAAACCTACGCTCGTTCGTGTTCGTCCAGCTCATTGATCATATCATTGCGCTCGTTGACTAGATTGACAAGATCTTCAAGGAGCAACTCCTCTCGGCGTCGGTCACTGTCGGTTTTCAAGGAGTCTGAATAACAAAAAGATGAACATAGCGATTGTATATATGACAACGAGACAGGCGACAACGATCTTGAGCCAGTCAATGTTCAGGGCTGCGCTTTACGATGCAGAACTCATGTGCCAGTAAAACCGAGCGAGGTAATGTAAAGGATTAACTCCTTTTGGTTAATTGCTCCGTCAAGTGATTTCGTCGGGATATTTATCTAGGTCAAAGGCCAATGCGTTTAGTAAACAAGGTAACGATCAACGAAGCTTTCAAGCGATGATAAAGCATGCAGTGTCGCGGGAATTATGCGTGACACTAACCCACATAGGCCATGGTGGCAACGACAGCTCCCAAAACGCCATAAATATACTAATGTTGATCCCGCGGATTAAAAAAGCAGCGCAACATGTAGTGGTCATTGTGATGAGCGCCATTGGAGTAGCACATTAACGACCCAATTAGTGAGTCGGATTGCGATCAGTACCGATCGATTACCATTGAACTCACATGACTGATGGTAATTTCGCTCGTCTTACGTTCGTGGTGTTGTAATGACTGTTTGCTCTTAGCTGCGGTCGTTGCAGTGCTCTGGCCGTAATTGCTGACCCTGATGTACAAAAAGGCAAATCGGAAGTGCTCTATCCACCTACTCTGATGAGGAGAGGAAGGATGACACTTTTGAGGCCACCGCCCCACACATTCAGCCGCCGGGCTTGGAATCATCAGTCACTGTTCAGCGGGGAATAGGTCACGTGTAGATGACAGGTGGTGAATGGATCGGCCCCCAAATCCATCATTACATCAGTCGACGCCACTGATATGGACCCCACCACATGGCGTTCGGATGGTGAGAATGCATATTAGTCTTACCCTGTAGAGTGAGCTCTCATTTTGTGCTGCTCAATACAATGTGTCGCACACTGGGCATGGACCAAAAACGCAAAATAACGAAAGTGGGCTCACCTTCAATTGACATGATCCGACGCAGTTCTTCCTGTAGCATTTCCGTTTTCTTTTTCAGATCATCCTCCTTTTCCCTGCATTGTAGAAACGGATGCACGGTTTGGTATATTTATGCCTCTCCGTGGTTCGTATCGATTGGTAAAAATGCAATGAGGTATGGAGAGACAGGCGATCCGTGATGAGGACGTCGGGTTACCATGGCAATTAGCAGCGGTAACCGGATATGCCTCGCGTAAAAATCGATTCGCCTGGGCTACATCACACACAAGAGCGGTGGGGTATGATGCGCGCGCCAAAGGCTGTGATACGCGTCATTCGTGCGAATGAACCGAGGACGCAAACAACAATGACCGTTCTCACGAGTACTCATTCGTTGACCATTCCGCATTTCGTAAGAAGGTATAAGAAGCGCAAAGAAGACAATACCTAGATTTTGAACACCGTTCGGGGGCATGAACTGCTCATTAGGTGGAGTGAAAGTTCACAACTAATGGTTAGGTAGTATAAGATGAAAACTAGCCACATCACCAATACGTTGGGTGCAAAAATTCAGTGATTCTCTGTGGCACTGTAAGTTTCGCACGTCAGAACATCATAATCAAAGCCAAGAATACTTACATGATAGATAGCTGATGTGCACGATGAATGAGGGCGCTCTTCTGGTTGACTAGCACAAACCACCGTTTCAACAGTTGTTCTTCAGTGGCGCTTCCGGGAGCGCGGGCCATTTGGATTCGGAGACGTTTTTCCAGCGCGGCAGCTTCCTGATCCAGCTCTTGTTGCGCACGATCCAACTCGGCTTGTTCGTTGCGCAGATAATTGGACAGCGATGCATCTGCAACGTAGGCGGAATCACGCACAGAATGCTCGGAGTTGACCATCGCATAGCGGTGTGGAGCTACAATGGAGCAGAATAGTCGCTCTGTAAAGACACAGAATAGGTGTGCGGGGTCAACACTAAGGATGAGGCAGCGACGATTGTCGCTTATTAAATCCCATGGTGTGATGGTGAATACCTTGTTAAAAAGTGAATGTATTTTTGAGCATAAGCAGTTAGCAGCTTTTTCCTCGCAATCTCATACAGACACAATCCAAGCCGTCGACCCATGTGGAAGTCAGCATTTATCAACCGAGGAATGTCGTCATAAACAGAGTATCTGCCGCCAACGTGGAAACTTAGGACACTTGGCCCGAGTTTGCCGATCTAAAACTTGCACAGCCACGACATCACGTTTTCCCAAGAAGCCCGTGAATGTTTTCCAGTCTTCAAACGTAGAAGACCAGCTAAACATGATCTAGAACGCAACGTCGAGCATCTGTAACATCCACCCAACCTACACTGCAATTGGAAATAGACGGCCAGTTGACTAAAATGGAAGTTGAAACCGGTGCCTCAGTTAGAAGATTACCCAAGTTATCCCCCTGTGAATCAACTTTGCGTACGTACAATAAGCACCCGATACCAGTCCTGGGAAAATGCACTGTTCATGTAAATTACCATGGAGAGAAGCGGACCTTACGGGCATATGTTGTGGCGAATGATTGTCCGAATTTACTCGGACACGACCACGCTAGAGACAGTGAAGTTCATATCCATTAACCAGCGCTTGGAAGATGTGCTTAACAAATATTCTGACGTTTTTGATGAGAAACTAGGGAAATTGCACGGAAATCAGGCTAGTAACAAATTACGACAGGGAACTCAGCTCCGCTTTCTCAGAGCACGTACCCTACCTTATTCCCTGAGATCAAAGGTGGAAGATGAGTTAAAGAGATTGCAGTCAGCAGGAACAATCGAGCCAGTCCAATACAGAGTGGGAAGCTCCAGTAGTTCCAGTCCTGAAGCCGGATGGCTCTGTGCGTATTTGTGGTGCCTATAAACTAACTGTTAATCGTTGTTTAATTCTGGACAAGTATCCGTTACCTCGGATGAAGAATCTGTATGCTACGCTGGCAGGCAGATAAAAGCTTACACACGTCGACCTCAGTCACGCGTACTTACAAATTGAGTTAGACGAGACTCCTCGCTCATGCACTACGATAAGTACCCACATGGGTCGGCCCTTCGGAATCAGTTCGGCCCCAGCGATATACCAAAGGATCATTGACAACCTGATCGAAGATATTCCTATCATTTGCGCCTATCTTGACGACACTCTAATTAGAGGACGTACAGATGCTGAACATTTGCACACGCTATCCACTGTGCTCGAACCTCTACAACTGAGTGGACTCAAACTGAAGAAGTCCTAAAGTACGTTTTTCTCAGATTCCATTCGTTACCTTGGTTACCGCCCCGATAAAAACGGATTACATGTGTTAGAGGACAAACTAAAGCCCATCCTTGTCGCGCCCGAACCCAAGAATGAAGCTGAACCCGGATCGTTTTTAGGGATGTTTTCCCACTATCGTCGCTTCTTACCTAAGGCATCAACAGTATTTGCACCTTTGTATGAACTGTTGTACAAGGGGAAGTAATGGACTTCGGGTCCGGATCAAAGAAAGGCCTCCCCGTATCACGTGCATTTCGATCCGAGCCGTCCTCAATTACTGCAGTGTGATGCTTCCCCATGCGGAGTAGGCGCAGTCTTTTGCCACCGGACGGATGACGGTTCACTTCGTTTAATCGCTTTTGATTCTCATACTCTGCAACCCGCTGAAAAGTATTACTCCCAACTGGACAGAGGCCTTAGCGATTACTTTCGAAGTCAAGCATTTCCCCCAGTACGTCTGGGGAAGACAGTTTGATATCCACACCGACCATAAACCACTTCTTTTGCTTCTGGGTAAGGAGAAAGAAATCCAACAGATGTCTTCGCCTCGAATGCAAAGGAGGGCACTAATATTGAGCGCCTATAACTGCAAACTTCAGTATGTAAACGGACCAAGTAGTACCATTGCCGATGCACTTAGTCGCCTCCGGCAGCAACATGGCACAAAACGAGTAGTGAACCCATGGAGTTTATCAAGTTGATGCAACACCTTCAAAAGACATCCATCCGGAGTGACGTGGTGCGTCGCCTGACTGACCGAGACCCTATGCTGTCGATGGTGAAGCGGTTCTTGATGACCGGATGGCCTACAAAGCACGTCAGACGAACTGAACCCATTCGCCTGTCGGAGTAATGGGTTGAGTCTACACAACGGCTCGCGCATAGTTCTACCAGAAGAACTACATCCCCAGTTGCTGCGAGAGCTGCATGACGCACACCCGGCGTGAACAGGATGAAGGTACCCACACGTGGTTACTGTTGGTGCCGAACATTGACCAGGACATAGAGCGGCTGCTGAAAAACTGCGAACAATGTCAGAAATACCACAGGCAAAAACCTCCCGGACCGATACGTCCATGGCGTTGGCCGGAGACGCCCTGGCAGCGGGTACACGCAGAGTACTTTGACTCAATCAATGGGATGACGTGTCTACTTTTGATTGATGCCCATTCTAAATAGATAGAAGTACATCCAGTTCCACATGCGACTTGGCAGCAACAGTTGCAAAAATGCGCTCCATATTCGCCATTTTCGGTATCCCAGAGACGGTATGCACGGACAACAGAGCCCAATTTACAAGTGAAGAGTTTCAACAGTTCCTGAGTAACACACTAAGTCTGCGCTGTACCATCCCGCGCCGAATTGAATGGCAGAACGTGCAGTCCAGAGCGTCAAGCAAGATCTCCTCAAGCATACGTATGGAACACTACAAACTAAGCTGGATGGCCTCGTGTTCTCTTACCGCACGACACTGACTGAATTGAAAGGGAAGGCACCCGAAGAAGTAATGTTTGGTCGGCCACTACGAACGGGACTGCACCTACTTTTTCCGAACCCTCAAAGGAGAATGGAGGAAAAGCAGGAGAAAATGTGTGTGTGTGGATGAAAAGATGTCAAGGGAAATGTATCCTAATGATTTTGATTCGGCATTCACAAGCCTAACTCACGAATCGAGCTGGCAACCTGATACACTCATATCCTCAACGAGTAACCAAGCGAAGCTAAAGCTGGAGGACGGCCGTGTGGTGCGTCGCCATTCTGACCATATCCGGCCGCGCTCAAACGAACCATATAAGCGGGATCAAAAAGTGACTGACCCAAAACGGACGGAGAATTTGCTTCACAAAACCAGGAACCACAACCGGATGCGGTACAACCACAATTAAGACGCTCAAAACGCACGGTATCAACTCGGAGTCTGCAGTCTTGACCAGGGAAGAGAGGGGTGTCACTTATGCACTTGAGTATTGATTCGTGAACACAAGCACTCACATTATTGGTTGACAATGACCTTGTCTTACTTTCCTTATTTCACTGGTTTTTCTTTCCGGCTTTTCTAGCCACTGTAACGTAGGAAGCTTTAATTAAAACGGTTGCATACTACGCGTGCGCGTTCTGTCCCGTTCATCGGCTGAGGGCCATACTTAACACACCGCCAAATTTAATTTGCGTATTCGACATGATGGCGAACATAAGTGCTGAGTATGACGAGGAACAGAAATGTCTGTGTCCGTACTATCCGAAATGTTGATTGTCAATTGCTGACGTGTCTTTGGACTGCATACATGTGGCGTAGGAGTCACTATCGCCGATCAGATGTTCACGGCCAACATTGACTGACTCTACATGTGCGCGTGTACGTCCGTCAATCGATTACCCACTCATTAGTGACTTGGCCACAGCTATTTGATCGATGCTGTGTACAGGTTCTTGCTAGAATACACGTTGCGCTACCAGCTCAGCATGTTCTTTTCTTGCGTCGTTCAACTAGGAGCCATTACTGCGTTCGCAGGTTTGCCTTGGAACATTACAGATAATTCACGGAGAGCTCTGCAAGACATGTACACCGAGCATGTGGGAGTAGGTGCTCGGGTTTCAAGCTGAGGAAGCACTCCCTGAACACTGGAAGACCACTGGTCGCATATTCGCCAGATATTATTAGCAGCAGCGACGTCTTCATGTGCCAGATCAAATTGCCAATCTAGACATAGTGTCTCTATGTAGTCTATGGAACTCCTAGATGCTCGTTGACACATCCCGGCTGGGAGAGAACACGAGGCTCGCAAAGACCTTAGGGCAAAACTACATACTAGCCTGAAGAGAGACCGCGAAGCTTGGTGGTCTCATCGTGCATGAGAGACGGAAATGGCCGCTATGCTTGGTAACCATCGGAAGTCATTCCGTTTGATACGCGAAACGGGCGGAAGGGAAGCTGGTGTCAGCGAGACCATACGCGACGCTTGCAGAGTTGGGCCGAACACTTTGAAAAGCAGCTTAATAATCCTGAGTTACCAGCTCCTCTCCGGTCATTGATCGCTCTTCTCTCTGGGCCGTCCCCTGGACCCGCTTTCACGCACAGAAGTCGAACCTGAGATCAGACTACTGAAAGCGAATAAGGCTGTAGGAACAGATAGATTTCCTCAGGTCTTCAAATTCGGGGGACCTGCTAGTTTAGATAATCTGCACAAATTACCTGTCAAGCTGTGTGAGCATGGGACTGTCCCAACAGATTGGAGCCGCACCGTTATAGTCCCAATTTTTAAAGGTGGCTCACGTTCCGAATGCGGCAATCATAAGAGGATCAGTCTGAGGTTACTTGCTTCTGCCGTTCTTCATAGACTTGATGGCACCTGTGAAGGCCAGAGCAAGCCGGGTTTCGTCGAGGTCGCAGCTGCATTGGTCATATCTTCACATTACGTCAACCATCGGAGCATCGCCATATTTGTTGGCAACCGACGACAGTCGTGGCCTTCGACATCAACAATGTCGCCGAAGCGGTGGATCGATGTGCGCTTTGGGACTGTCTGCTCCGGAAAGGTGTGCCCAAAGATGTGTAAACATTATCAGAGCGCGTTACACACGCGCAGTTCGGGAAGAGTGAGTTTATGGCAAACCGTCGCCGCCC